CAAGGTTGCCGGTCTTAGCAGGCTATTAATGTGAGCTCGTTCCGAGCATGCACTCTAAACTGCACCCACAAATATGGGGTCCCGTAAATACCTCCTATATGGATGACTATGTTTTAATGGGACATCAGACGATGGTTGCATTCGATAGTAGGTCCCATTCCGTCTCGGTCGCGCATGTCCGCGGGTCCCCCTTTTATAGCCGCGGTGATGTGAAGGTGTTCCGTCACCGTCACATCACCTGGCTTCGATGAAGATAATGTCCAACAGCCACTCTCATTGGGCCGGAGGTGCATGTCACCGCAGCAGCAGCTTCTCCTGATGTTGGAGAAAGAGGAAAATGAAGACCCATTGATGTTGGTTACTTCAGCTGATGTTTGGAAGCCTTGTTTCCGGGTCTTCGAGAGGGCCTCTGCCAAGCTATGGTGTTGCAAACCATCCCCATAAGTGAGCCCTAGATGGAGCACGGCCTCGCCGGGGCTTGGAACGTAACACCATGTATTTTTTCTCTCGATTTAGAGAAGTAGATTTGCACCACGAATTCGATTTAACGAAGAATTCACGCGTCGCCTATGGACATTTTGGCAGCCTCCGCGAGAAAAGAAGAATTTGACAGAAGTTTGATTGCCCAAAACTGAACATAAAAACGTAAAGCCTTTATTGGTTTAAAAATTGAAAAAAAAACAATACTGGTGATGATGACGACAGCTTGCATAAAGAAAAATTACCCGCCATATTACATTAAGAACAAAGCAACTCCGCGACTTTGCAGATGATGTACAATTAGTTGTCTATGTTGTCTACTATGTTTGCGACAACAAAGATCTTTTCTTGACTCGATCTCTGCTTTTTTTTAACAATGAATGACGCACCGCATAAAATGAAAGTTTTGTTGCTTGACATCAAAGTCAAAATAATCACCAAAGTGAGGAACGAGCAGAAGAAAATGACAGTTGCTAAGAGGTATGGCATCTTACAAAGCTCCCTGTCGACAATTTTGAAGGTAAAAGACAGCATCATGATTGCAAGACCGTGATTCTAAACACTTTGACTCGGAGACGCTGTCAGCGTAGCTGATTCTAGATCTGTAGGTTCTATCGACTTTCTTCATTTTCGCTGCCCGCAAAACTTGGGAGTCACACGGGATCCTAAGGCTGTGTACCACAACTTGCTCTACCTGACTTTGGAATGGGCGTTTCGTAGGCAGGCGCTTCAAAACGTACACGCGCGACTGCGTCCGGCGTGACATGACCTGCCGGAGTAATGCGGGTTGGCTCGAGTTACTTCGGTAGCCGCTGCAAGGGCTGCAAGCAATGTCGGCTGGGTTGGCTGCAGGTGCAGTGTAATCACATGACACCTGCCGGAGGAACTCAGGCCGGCTCGAGTTACTCCATTAGCCGCCGCTAGAAAATTTTGCGCTAACACAGTGGTAAAGATAAACAAACAAACAGGGCATGTTGACAAACAATGATAGTCATAGTTTCTTTTTTTGTTTCCCCATGTGGCACCATCGGACGCTTGCTACAAGTACCAGCCATGGCCTGTGTCACGCAGCGCTTTTGCTGTTACAGGGGTGGAACTCATGAAATGTTATTTGGGAGCAGCCACGGGAGCAGCTGAAACCGCTGTTTTGGAGCAGGTTGGGAGCAGCTAAAACTATGTTCTGGAGCAGGCTAGGAGCAGCTCAGATCAGTTTTTATTGCACTTGAGCTTGTGTGTTAGACAAGCACAGGAGCAATTTCAATTGTGCTTAGGAGCACAGATGAACATGAGTGGTTAGGAACATAGGTAGATGGGATAACAGTGTAACATGTGAAAACTTGAAACTTTGTGAGCCTTAATGCTAACCAAAAAGCAAGTATCATATGTTTCTGAAGATAGTGTCCTTGATATTTTCTGAGTGGCTTCCAGCTGCTCAAAATGTAAATCAACACTACTTATCACACAACCCACACATGCTCGACATAGTAATTATATGTGCGAACCTCTTGATGTGTGTAAGCAACGGACGTGCAGTTGCGTGGATGAACAGGGCAACAAATTTTGAGTTTATCCTATTGTGCAACTCAATATCGAAGCAGCAGACTACGATTAACGGAGTTATCGTATTCAAAGCGATAAGCAGGAGCAAGATTAAAGTATGCAGAGCAGATCTACCACTCGTGTGACAGCTGCTAGCCGGCAAGGTTTCGGATCGGACCGCGTTTCAGTTCTATCAAATCACGATTTATCTTGCGGGAATGCAATTCCCACTTCTAACGATGAAGTACTAAAAATAATATTTTTCTTATTTGTTTTCAACTGGCTGACGTCCGGATCCTGGGCTGCAGAGCCTCAGGCAATCCGACGCTTAACGACTCGACCTCACCTTGGCCGACAAGCTTAATCGCTGATGGTTGAAGAATAACAATCCTGTCGCAGGTGTAGCGCTTCGAATCCGATCCCCGAGTTTTTTTCGCGCGCTTCCGAGTCGGGATACACAGGGAGAATAAACAGAACAAAGGATTGCAAGGCCGACCAAGCTAAACGCGCTCATTGTTGCCAATCGAGTGGATAGAAACCGAAACCAAGACAAAATACAATTTTGTTTGGGCGCACATTGTGCGATTTCGTGCATAATGGCACCGGGTATTTATTGGCTGTGGTTCAGTTTCCGCGAAATGGTGAAGTATGGCGCAAACAAATGCATCTGGCGCAAAATGGCCCAAATAGTGCAGCCGTTCCACCCCTGTGTTTGCATTCGATTTTTCCAGATTGACCAATCTGGAAATTGCGACACAGCTCCCTTAAATTTTGCGAGGAATTTAGAGGATTTTGTAACGAAAGGCTAAAATTTGATATAACATATTCCATGTTAAGAAAGGCATATCTGATTCTCTTATTACTCACATCAGTGTCACTCCATTGGTGCTTGAGCTGTGTGCTCATGGCCCCTTCATTGCCAGGGTCCCTTGAAGGAGGCGCCTGCACATTCAGGGTAGGCAAAAGCTCCCCTCCAGTGGGCCTTTGTCCATTGGAAAGAGCTGGCAGCCCAGTCACAGGGGCTTCCTCCACCACAAGACGGCCCCCCCACGTGCATCGTGGAATTTTTAAATGACGCTGTAGTTTTCGTGCAGATTTCAGGCAGCTGTCGAGTTCTGATAAAAAGCAGAAACTTGTGGTCAGCATAAAAAGGTTCTTGCAGCCGCAATGAACGGCTACAATATACAGTGCACAGTGAATGCACAGCTTTTTTTTTTTTTTTTGTGTGACATGGAGTCACAAGAAGCAAACTTCTGGCAAACAGAACACTTTCTGAGATCAAAGTATCTAATCTTCAATGATGGTGAACCAGTACTAGACACGGTTTGTTAAAATTGAGCTAAGGCAATTTTAAGGCATGCAGTTTAAAGAAGCTCGTTTTAGCGAATGCCGTCTTACCGACCCCGGTTTATCAAATGCCTTTATAGAGAACCCAGTTTAGAGAAAATGGCAATGAGCCTCCTTTTAGCGAATTCGGCCGCCGCAAAGCGGCGTGTGCAGGTAAATCAGGCAAGTTAACATATTTGTTATGAGCTGTGTCGCAGACTGCTGCCGCAAAACGGCGGGAGCGCAGCGGGGGGGGGGGGGGCATGGGTTAACACGCGCACCAGAGATACACGCGAGAAGTAGAAAAGCCTTTTTTGTTAAAAAGCGTTCCCATTTCGATAAACAGCGTGTCTGAACTGAGGCTCTGCTTTCTCTAAACCGTGCTTCGATAAAACGTGCCTTTTCTCTAAAACGTGCTTCAATGAAATGGCATTCGATCAACCGTAGTAAACCCATTGTGAGGCAAGCTAGTAAACCATCATCTTACAATGCCTGCGCATGCACAACATCTGGCACATCGGGAACCAGCAAAAAGGTGCCCCCGTCTTCTCGTATCGCTCGGCAATGCTTAGAATAGTGAACATTTGTGGGAAGACACCTGATCGAGAACACAAGCAGTGTTACCAGTCACGACGTGATGTCATCAGCCAAGGTTGTTTAATCGACACAAAACTCAATGGCCAACTGGCTCCCGCAAAACACAGCGTGGCACCTTTTCACAAGAAGGAGCTTCAAATTTTGGAAATGGTCTGATCGAAGGTTGTTCATGCCATTCAGTAGAGCACAGGTACATAGCTCCCTGTCCTTATTTCATTCCGCGGGTAAAACCCTCGGAATGAAACTAGCCGAAGTGCATACCCACCAACTAGCCCAAATGCATACACTTATTTCCCTCCTTTTTTTTTTTTTCTTTCTTACCTAGGCTTGAATATGGCTAGTGCCATGACTGCGGCAGACATCCACCAACCAGAAAGCTAAATTACGATACAATAATGCAACTGGCCTGATACTTCTGGTCAGGCCAATTGAAACTAATGTAGCCATGCTCACTCTCATGAGTGGCACCCACACAAAATGTTGTGCGGCAAGATGCGAGACAGCACAAAAGAAGTAGTCCCTGGCTCCTGCAGGTTCTTACGAGAGGGAAGGCATGCACGTGTACGTCAAGAGTGACACCTGGGCAGTGTGAAATGCGAAGGCTTTGAGTTCTAACAGGCTCAAAAAGATCTCCTGCAAAGATCACCTTCGGCAAAGTCGGAATCATCGATAAAAGATTCCAACAGCTCAAAACACGGGAGGGAAACAAGGAAACAATGGCAAAGTCAGAGTTTCGCTGGCTGTGCTGTAGTGCCGCTGGGAATCTAGCAAATGTGGAGGCAAGCTATGTTACTGGCCTTTCAAACATCGCAGCCTTCCTGAACCGGGGGTTTCAAGGGTCCCGTGACTAAGAGGAATTTAACACATCTATAATGACATCCAAGCGGTCCTCTACTACACCTATTTTTGAATTTTTCCTTTCAATGTATTTCTTGCACTATGTTCTAACCTCAGCAAATCAGACCCAGCCAAAGCCAAGCCAGCAAAATGCTCATATACTCTGAGAAATTCTGAGAGAAAGTTACCTAGAAGCTTGTCGAAGGACTCCTCCTTTTCCCTCAATTTTCCTTGAGGTGGTCGATAACTTGGTTTAGACGGAGATTTTCTTTCCGAAGCTCAGCCTCGTCGCCGATTTCCGAAAGCAGTTCCTCATCTCTTTTCTTCTGCAATGCAGATGTGTTCTAAAACAGAAAAGTCAAAATAAAAATATGCGTGTTTAGCATCTTTGGTATATTCAGCGTAATATCTCACAGAAGCATTCTTAAAATGTGTTCACACGTGAACACTTGAGCCATGTTTCAAAAGGTACTGCACGCGCTTTCACTGTACTCTGCTCACCATTAAGCTGACAAGGTGGTGCAGACCGTGATTGGTGGACCGGTCACATGCCTGCCTTTTATCACCTGATTCCCCTCTCTTCATATCAGCATGAGCAAAGAGCATGATCATGTGACAGAGTACAAAGAGTTGACTGGTCTACCCAGCAGATAGCTTCCACGGCCCTCTCAGTTTAGGGGTAAATGGAGTACAGCAATGCAACGGTGACAACAGCCCTAAACTAAAACTTCCCGACAAGAGCACTGGCTACTCAGTTTTCTTTCGCCACTGCCCGCTAAGGTCATGAAATTGTTCCCCACTCAATGCTGGCTTTGGCACTGACGCTTAGCTTGTTCGCAAACAAAGCAGAAATCACTTGAAAACATTTAAAATTTTTAAATAGTTTATAGGACAAACAGAATAGAGCATTTCACAATGCACAAGTAAAACTGCTTGTTGTTTATGATTGGCCTAGCTTATCTCAACGCACAACTAGAGGAGTACTCGCGCTTACAGTTTGTAGTGGAAAGCTGCAAGCTTTATTTAAAATAAGCAATGAACAGCGTCGACCCTGCAATAGCTGGCAGACATGTGGTAGTGGCGACAAAAATCAATAGCCTGTCGAATGCTGCTTGTACACTCAATAGCCTCGCCATAGATCAGCCCTCTTCTATTAGATAGCACTGGGATCCTTTAGGCTGTGCGGTCGCTTGGCCTTTTTCATATCTTACACGAATGTACAGATGCAAAAGTTTATGGACCACGGGAAGATGCTAAAAAATTTATTTAATGCAGTGCCTTAAAATCTGGGCATGTTGCTTGAGTGTAGATGATTCTTTGAGGGATGAAGAACCGCTTACACCCATAAGTAATTGCAAGGCAGTGCCACAAATAAATTTTTTAGTTTCTTTCCGCAGCCAGTGAACTTTTGCGACCGATAGCACAGCCACTTTGCGGGCATATGCATCAAGCTTCCACAACACTTCAAAAACGTGCATTCCACACCACTGAGGTTCTTGTTATTCGCAGAAGATCAGTAGAAGCCTGCTAGCACGGACTGAAAAGTAAGCTCAAATATGTCCTCCAGGGAATATATCAGATAATGAAACTAATTATATAGCTTACGCCCGTCTTTCCATGAGCTGCACCGACAAGAGCCTTGTTTTTTCTTTTTATTAATCTCTCCATTTTCCTCAGGAGCTTGTCCTTGTCAGCTGAAATTAAAAAAAGAAAGTTCTCTGCTTCACAACCATGACATATTTTCAGGGAAACTTACACTAGATTACTATATAGCTCCTTCGGAGCAGAGTACCGCAATCTAGAACGCCCGGAGGTTCCCACTTTGGTCAGAAATGCATGGGGAACGTGAGAAAATCGCTGCTTCCTGAATATTTTAGGGATCTATGGAACGACAATAGTTTTTGACATAAGGGAATAGTTTACAATAATTTGCGCTAAGTTGTGTGCCATGAAATAACTTAATATTATTTTTAAAAAATTGCCTGAGCAGCATCATGCAGCAGACGAAGCGGCGGCGTCACACCGTTCATGTGACCCGCTCCGGCCAATCCATAAAGTCCATCTCCGCTGCGTAAAACAATTGTCCGCTTCAAACGCCATTGCTTTGAAAATTGCCTTCGCAAAATTTTCAAACGCATCCAATATTATTAAAAATTTGATAAAATGTTTAATGCTTTACCAACTTCACGACAGACTAGTTTCGAAAAGTGTGAACTTGGCGTTTATTTTTTAATAACCCGTGTTGAGTAGATCTCCATGTATTCTCCCATAGGGCGGGCCGCCTCCTGGAACCCTGAGAACCACGTGACTCGCGCCGAGCTGCTCTGTCGGCCATGAAACGGCGAAACACGCGGATCAAAGGATTGCGCTACTCTGCTCCGTAAGAGCTATATAGTGCTCTAACTCACACTAGTCTCCGGCGCAAAGGTCGAGAGGATTGTTGTAAGAGTAAAGCCATATGCACTATGTCGTGCACCTTGACCGGAATTGGCTAACGCACTACGTGAAACTCATGTAAAACGAATGGTTACAACCAGCTTCCGAGGAGGTGGCGTAGCTTAGTGGTAAGGAGTCTGCTTCCTAGGCAGCAGTCTCCGGTTCGATCGAGTTCAATACCTAATACAAGCTCCTCTTTTTTTTCTTTTTTTTTTTAAGAACATCTGTTTTTGTTGAGCATTTGACGATATTTATGGCATTTCTTTTTTACAATTAACACTGGGGAAAAAAAAACAACTAATGTTGTCTACCAAACTTCGCTGAACTTCGCCGATTGCACCTTCGCTGAACGAAGGTGCAATCGGGGACAGCAGGGCCTGGGTTGCCGGCTGGACGCCGCAAAGTGGCGTGTACGGGGGGGACATGTGGGTTAATAGTTTTGTACTGAGCAGCCGCACACTGTCGCCGCAGCGGAGGGCTGGCTTAACACGCTCCCCAGTGATACATGCGCCGTCCAAAAAGTGTGACCCAAAGGGAGAGAGCTCTTTGCGTAGTGTGTATAGCCATTTCTGGTCAAGGTGCACGGTGCAGTGCGTATAGATTTACTCTTCTTGTAAGGTTGTGGCTAGCCTTCCGTCCAGATGGAACGATAGTCGCCACTAGAGTTCCATCTAAACTGCTAATGTCCCGACTCCGAAGTGATCTTTCTAGGGCTTAATGAGTGTCGATTAAACACGCATGTATCACTAGGGCACGTGCTAACCTAAACACCCATCCACACCACTTCGCGACAAAAGTATGCGACGGCTCATTTCAAAAATGTTAATGCCCCTTGCCTACCCGTACACGCCGCTTTGCTGCGACGGTGCCCCCGTCTCTCAGTTTATATAAGTTTATAGTTCTGCCTGGTCGTAACTTTACACGGTTTACTAAAGTTCGTTCAGAATGGAACGAACTTCAGTGGCGACTACCGTTCCGTCTGAACGGAACTCTAGACACTTCCTTCTTGTAATCCTTATCGAGAGAACGTGACAGTGACGCCAAGTAAAAACATACCAAGATATTTCTTTTTTCCCTCAACTCACATAACAATACAATACATGCAAAAAGGTGGTTGGCATAGTATTGAGTATCATTATTTGAGCGTAAAAGCGATCTGCTAAAACTGTATGTACGCCCCGCGTTTAAAACACCGCCCGCCCTTTCTCCCCTCAGATATGATAATAGTGGGTTTTAGTGTTGCATATACGAGCAAACGCAAGCGCTGTGCGTTTGCGTTGCGTGTTCCACACTTGCGCGAGCGCGGAGCCTAAACTGCGCCCTAAACCGCGAAACCGCATGGCGATTTCGCGCATGCGCAGCGTGGGGAACGCAATGCTAACGCACAGCGCTTGCGTTTGCTCGTATACGCAATACTAAAACTCACTAGTATGGAGTTTTCGTAGACCGTGTTTCCCCCTCCGCTAAGCCCTCCACAACGAAGAATCCGCTACTGCTCATGCGAGCCGATGGCCTTGGCTGTAGACTAGTTCCGGTTATCGTAGCGGGTCGGGGAGGACGCTGCGGGAAGGTAAAAACGATCTACGAAAACCCCCCGTAACTGCACAGTGACCCTACCTTAACGCAACTGCCAGTTGCACCATTTGCTCAATAAACGTTTTACATTTAAGAACTATGAAGTTGGGTTCTTACCGGAAAGGCCCATTACTACAGCAGGGAAGGCGCCCCTGTCCTGCCACAGCACGTGGACTATGGCTCCTACGGCTAAGGGCGCTGCCGAATCGCACAGCTCTTCTATGTAGACGTCGCCGACAACATCGTACTTGTTCTCCTCTTCGAAATAGACGAGCACAAACTCGGCGTCGATGCGTTCAGTCATATTGCGTTGCGTTAAGTTACAGCTGACAGAGAACGGTAAACACACAATGTTAAGACTGCTCAACGGATTGGATTGGCTGGTATCTTTTCAGATTAAAATCTTTTTGTGCTTGACCGATAAAAGCGCACAAAAAGAAAAGCCGAGAAATGTATTTACTTATTAGTAATTTAGTTCGACTAATTACATTTTACAGTGTTATACTTCGTGTTTTTCGTGACGAGTAATTTTTTTTGTATTGCAATTTGGGTTTCAAGCTCTATGGTTTCAAGGTACCGGGCGTTGGTACCGGGCAACGTTGGTACCGGGGTTGAAGAAAATAAAAATCCAGGGTGCGCCACGGTCGATCCGCCATTTTTAAAAGGTAGATATTTTGCTGTCTGCCGTACATTCGACCTACCAATTGTGGCTACAAAGTCCTTGTAGAACGTGTAGAACGTTGTAGAAAGCCAAGCAGATGTTCAACGCGATATTCTTTACGTGCACGCGTGAAGAGGAGTCGTCACGACACCTGAGGCAGCATTTCAAGCTCTGAACGCGGAACGTTTCGTTCATTCCGGCGATGGTTCATTATGCCGTGTGGGCGTAGCAACTGCGCCAAGAGAGCTCGAAACGATTAAAACTCTACGAGTAGAATTCTTCTCCACCCCCAAAGTTCCTGAAAATCAGCGTGCGAAGACGGCAGCCCTCACCGCAGTCACAATTTCGTAGAATTAGGCACGTCGACTTCGACGATTTTCCCGTCATCTGCTACTCGTATGGCTACCGCGTGCGTTTTATTGCGACTTTGGTATTATTTATTGCACTTGGGGAGGTAGAAATGTACAGGCGTGCTGGTGTTGGGGGAAGGCTGACGCCCGTGCAACTATAGTGTACCCACAACAGTTTCAAGGAAGATAGAAAATGCATTATGTAAAACCATTTTTTTTTTTTTACAACTATCAAAATGCGCCACACCGAACGGAGAATGTCTGAATACGACGACGCCTGCTCTCTGCGAGGTCGGTGCACCGTTTTATGCGCAGCGTCGTCTGCTACTCGCGGCGATGGTTGCGTCGCCTTTCCCTCGGCTTTCGGAAATTCATTGTTGCTTCACGAACAAGACTGGGCGTTCGAGGAAAGGGAAAGAAAATGCCAAGAAGCGTACGTACTTTATTTATTGACTAACAACCACGAGACGCGTTTGAAAAAGCAAATAAGATCTCGCGGCCGAGGTGTTTCCGCCGAGATCCGCTTGCTCGCCGCAGTTGCTTTTATATCGGGCGGTAGCTTAAGCCGCCCAGCCTTGAATTATGTAATTGAAACATGTTTTCTTTTTATTTTCTACCATACTACTTCTCCCTTTACATCCCTGCAACTATCGCCGGGCGGGTAGAGTACTTTCCAGGAAGAGCTTCGCGCCGGCTGCTCTTGTTGCCAGCAAACGGGGCGAAATTCCAACGCAATTAACCAGCCGCCAACCCATTCAAAAACAGAATAGATCTTTAAAAAGTCAATAATCGAGTTATATTTTGTATAAAAAAATGAATTACCGACTTGATTATTTACGAATGAACACTGCTCCTAATAAAACACTGAAAATTCCCTCTGGACTGACTCGGCTACACGTGGTTTGGCGCAGCCGGCTGTGGCTGGAGAGGCGGGCGGGGTGGCTGGAGCTGCCACACGCTGCACTCGGCTGGGCGGGCGTCGGAAGAGGGCTTTGCGTGGAAGCGTTTACGCGTGGTCAAATGGCGCGGATTCGCCACTGTTTGTGGCTCTACTAAAGGTCGAGTTACCCGTGTTGGCATCCTGGTACTTGGTCATACTGCACAGCCTTCCAGAATGAACAGGCAGAAGCGCGGTCCCTACAAGAAGTATTTGACAAGCAGCAGCGAAGTCGTAAGTACCTGCGACACACTCAAGCGGATCGTTCCACTAAGGGTCTGCCGCTTCTGTAGGCTGAACCTACTGTATGGATGATTGAAATTTTTTCGACGTTCCAATCACTCCCGGCACCGTGACAATTTAGGGGCAAGGTTAGAAAGATTTTCGATTCTAGTTACTTCAAAAAGTTGACCGCTGCTTTGTTCTATCGAGAAGGGGGTTAGGCCTTGGCTTAGGCTAGTGTACTGCAATTGCTATCGCACAGTACGTCGTATATTCGTAGCACCAGGCTATACGTAGATTTTTCGTCTGCATGTAGAAAATGATGCCTTCCTATGGCAGACAACTTACACTGTACAAATGTGTAATATTTTAGCAAGTAATTATACTCGGGAATCTTTTCGGCAAACTTATCCAAATTGACAGTTACGATTTCTGCTCAGTCCCAGTAGGCATGGTACTCGCATACATTGACTGCAGCTGGCATGATGTAGACACAAAGAATGAGTGCTGCTAGCAATTTTGATCCGAGCTGTCAGCTGGCATTTTGTTTCCAGGCCTATTTTTCCATCTGCTGGCAGAGTAACAACCGCAAAAATATGCCAGCCAACGTAGAACAACTGCCGGCAATTTTTTTTCTCTGGCTGCCATACCCTATAAACCCATGTATATATAATGCCGACACTATAGTGACGTGTTTGCAGTCAGCAAATGGGAGAAAACTGCCAGCATTTGTCCGCCCAGACAACTCTGCCAGCTGCCGGCAAAATATTCGCAACTTTCAGCGACGGTGGTACCGCGGTGTGAGAATAGCGCTCCCTAGCTCCTGGATGATCGGCTTCACAAAAAAGGTGCTTGCAAATACCTTCCTGACGTGCAAAAAATTAACTTAGGCTATATTACAGCTCATTTACAGCAAAGCTGGAATTACACGTCGCAAGCCCAGCCTCGTGCTGCTGTTCTACGACGATCATCCAGATAACAGCCATTTTGATAAGCGCCAGTACGCCCCCTATAGGTCGTGAAAGTTGCGAATAGGCTCGTCTTTCTTTCCCGAAATTCAAACGAAGTGAACGTCTCGGGAGCCAGCTACTTGCTTTGTACTTCTCATGCATCTGCACAGGTTATAATAGCAAAAGAAAGTGAACTGTTTACAAGACACGAATTAAATCTGGATATTCAACACGATTAAAAAAAATTCCTAGCCCAGCATGCTAACCGCTGCACCATCTGAGCTCATTGTTGCTGAGTTCTTGGTGATAGCAAAGTTGGGGCACGGATATCTACCGAATGTCGCCTCTGCTAGCATAAATTCTGCAACTCATTTCAAAGGTTCATTATTTTTTATAGATATGTTTGAAATTGCAGTACTCGTAATGAAAGAAACATGTTTTATGTTTTCTTTTTTCAACTTGATAGGTCCCACGACGTACCCAAGCTCGGTGGGACCAGCTTTCTGAAGATGCAGGCTGTTCCAAACCTCCAAACAGCGCAAGCCCTGATCAGCTTGCAAGCAGCCCAATTCCTCTTCAACAAGAGGGTGGTGCAGAGGATGCAAGTGATGCCGAAGAAGAGAGGAGCTTCTGCTCGGACATCAGTGTTTCAAGTTCTGACGAAGCCGATGACGGAGACAGTACCTCCTCCGGTGAACAATGCCCAGGTGACAGCTATGTACAGGAAGGTTTGGCCCACACTCCCCTTTTTGATGGGTGTTCTATGTCCTGCATTGAAGTTTGTGTCATCCTGATGAACTTGTTCTTCAAATTCAACCTCACGCGAGAGTTTCTTTCAGCTTTGTTATTTGCTCTCAACTTATTTCTGCCCCGCCCACATTCTCTTCCGACAACGACGTACACCTTTTTCAAGCTCCTTTCCAAGTATCGATCCGGTGATCCAGCAAAAGAACATTTCTTTTGCAAGAATTGCCACACCTCTGTTTCCGCTGGAATCGCATGCTGTCCATTGTGCACCAAATCACTTATCAACTGCGGCAGATTTTTACAGATAGAGTTAGCTCCAACGCTGCGCTCATTCTTAGAGGATGAAAGGATGTATGAATACTTCTCACCACCCAACCATGGCACTTCTGATGCCTACAGTGATCTAACAGATGGGGATGAATACAAGAAGGTGAGGTCTGGAAGCGGCAAATATGACTTCTTTTTGTTCTGGAACACTGATGGTGTTAAGGTGTTCAAAAGCTCAACCTCTTCCTTGTGGCCCTTGCACTGTGTAATCCCTGAACTGCCCCCCCGACTACGCAAGAAATTTCAACTACTGACTCTCCTTTGGTGTGGCTCAAAGCCTGACGTTAATACCTTTCTTCGACCATTTTGTTTGGAAGTGAAAAAACTCGCATTGCAGGGTTTGAGATGGACTCATCCTGTAACTGGACGACAACTGATATCCCGTATTTTTGCACCAGTCACATCTGTGGACGCCGTAGCAAAGGCTCTGCTGCAGAATATTCGCCAGTTTAATGGCTTGCATGGGTGCTCTCTATGTGAGGCCCCTGGCAAAACTTGTCAGCGCAATGGCTCCTCCCGATCATGGATTTATGTTCCGGGTACGTATGCTTTGCGAACGGGGAGTGGCATGAAGCAGCAGGCCGTACAGGCTGTGAATAGCCAAACTGTAGTAGAGGGCGTAAAAGGGCCGTCTGTATTGAGTTTGATTCCCCGTTTTGATTTGGCGTCCAGTTTTGTAATAGATTACATGCACTGTGTACTGCTAGGGGTAGTGAAAATGCTAATGGCCACCTGGTTTGACAGTAAGTATCATGCAGAGCCATGGTACCTCGGACGACAGTTGAAAACAATTGACGAGAGGCTGCTGGCCATCCAGCCACCCGATTTTATCACTAGAACGCCGCGCTCTGTCAGGCATAGAATGTATTGGAAAGCAAGTGAGTTCAGGGCATGGCTACTTTTTTATTCTATTAAAGTACTTTCTGGCATTCTTCCACTGGCTCATCTGCAACATTTTGTCCTCCTCGTCTCCACCATCCATATGCTGTTGAAGCAGTCTGTAAGACGTCACGAAATTGATCTAGCCGAAACTTTTCTTAGTCGCTTTGTTGAAGAGTCCGCATCACTTTATGGACCACAGTTTTTAACTTTCAACATGCACCAGTTAACACATCTCGGTCTTTCTGTAAGACGTTAGGCCCCCTCTGGGCAACGTCTGCATT